TAAAATTTAAGAGAATAGGAACTACTAGTATTTTAGCACTTTCTTATCTCTAAATTAAAACAGTAATCTTTTAAGATATTTGTTTGTAATACTGGTCCCATGTATTGGTCATGTCAAGAACATGACCATAGCACTGATTTATTCTGTACTGAAGTTCTTGTGTAATATTTTGTACCAATCCCTCATATATCATCCTGTAATAATAGATTTTTCTTGGGCATGGATAAGATTATTTATGAAGCCTATATAACACGTGTTCCTTGGAAGGCGTATTTTTGTCCATGTGTTCACAAAAACAATTTTTGTCTGACTATATTGATGTAATCTAATCAAAGATAATCGGCAACTTACTGTTTTAGCTTTTATTGTCTATAGTAAGCAAATATCTTTGATTTTCCTTTTGGATGATTAACATTGTAATTCTTGTTTACTTGAATTAATTGAAAATTATCTTCCAGTAAGTGTATTTAGAATTTTCATAAATATTCCCTGTTTACTAAAAACAGCATGCAAATTACTATTACCTCTTTTGTTCCATTAGATTGAAAATCTATTAAGTGGGAAGGGTAGAGATAAATCACTGAAATCTTCCCCAGAAAAATGGTCGTTTTTCTATTTTTAATGGGCACTTTTGTACAGGGAAAGGAAAAAGAAAGATGAGAACCACCCTTTATTATGAAGTTCTTACAGATTTTGCATTGTGATAGAATGTTCCCAAAACCCCACATTTTTGTACATATGAATTTTAGCTGCTTGGCACAGCAAACTTTATACCCCCTCCCAAAAAAACAGCCCTATACCAGATTATGACTTAAATACAGGTTTGGAGGTTGATAGCTGCAGACTTTCAACCTGCCCTATTCACATATGCAAGTGATATGCATTCATACTGTATCCAAACATGAAGAATCTAGCTCAAGGAAATGCATGATTGCAATTACTCTTGCATTCATCAAGCAGATATCTATACTGTCCTAGACTGTTATCAAGACCCAGAATATCTTACATGTAATTCTCCAGAATCTAAAACTATATTGTAGAATAAAATGGGTGAAAGCTTACACCTAACATAAGTAAAAAAAGAAAACCCATTCCCATCAAGATCGCATAATCTCAGAATAGAAGTACTGTACACCAAAGGGAAGAGTGGAGAAAAAATAATTAACAAACATATGACATTTACAATCTGAGCCAGAAACCCAAGGCTGTCTAATTTTTCTGAACTCTTTTGTATCTATTTGTAATAAATGCTATAAGGCATAGTACATAAATCAGTTCCTCCAGTGGTGGGATTCAAAAGTTTTTATTACCGGTTCTGTGGGCTTGGCTTGATGGGTGTGGCTTGGCTTGGTGGGCGTGGCAGGGGAAGGATACTGAAAATCTCCATTCCCACCCCACTCCAGGGGAAGGACACTGTAAAAATCTCCATTCCTTTCCCACCCCACTAACCTGCTTTCCAGCTCCGTTCTCCTATGTAGGACAACAAAAGAAGACCCATCCAATCAGCTGCGATCAGCAGAGAATAGATGGGGGCAGGGCCAGTCAGAGGTGGTATTTGCCGGTTGTCTGAACAACTCAAAATTTCTGCTATCGGTTCTCCAGAGCTGGTCAGAACCTGCTGAATAGCACTAATATATTAGAGAAGGGCAACAGCCCAAACTGCAGACATAGAAATTGATGGAAGAACGGGGCTTCCAGTTTGAGCTTCTTCGGTGACAGACTGAAATCTGTGATCGTGTGCAGTTTCGATCTGTGCTTGCCGTTGGAGCGCCCCGAGCTGGCTGGTTTCGGGGCTAAGCCACCCCGTAGAGGTGGTGAAGAGAGGGTAGACTGCCAGCAGGGTCAAGGAGAGTCGCATCACTCCTCCCCAGCTGGCCATTACTCCCTTTCCCGAAGGCGGTTGCAGCGGTGGTCAGAAATGGCCACCTCAAAGAAGAACTCGACCGGAAAAGAATGTGCAGGAGGAAGATAAGAAGAGAAAGTTTTGGCTGACTGGGTCAAACTGAAAAAGCAACAATATAAGGTACCCTGAATTTGAATTATAAAGAACAACATTGTTCCCAAAGAAGACTTTGAAGCAGCGAATGAGAGAGGGAAGGGAAAGGATTTGGTTTTTTTTCTTTTCTTCCCTATATTGACAACGAAGAGATTTAAGCAAGAAACCGGCAAAAATCCACTTTGACATTAACACGTATTTAAGCTGAAAATAAAATGTCAAAGGGATAATAAAGATTTCTGGATTCTCAAAAACTTCTAAAAGAAGGAAAAAAACAAAAGGGTGGGATCTAGAAAAATGGAAGAGAACACCTGGAAGTGAAAGGAATTAACAGTGAAACTTTAACAAGATTCCTAAAAGATACATTTTAACTGAAACTTTGTAACAAAATAATAGAGAAAGTGGAAAAAAGAAGCAAGAAGAAACAGCTTTGGATTATTTGGATAACTTGGTGATTTTTGGATTTTTGGCTATCGGATTTAAAGGACTAAAATTAATCGGGTGGTTGTTTAAAAGTTTTTAAAATGGTATCATTCTTGGAAGAATTGAGAATGGAACTTAAAAAACAGAAAGAAGATGCACAAGAAGGAAGAGGTTCTTTTGGCTTCGTATTTCAATTTTTAGAAATGGAGATCCTGAACTATGAGAAACATCAAGAAATGCCTCTAGAACAAGAAGAGCGGGACAAAGAAGAAGCCATCTTCAATGACCAAGTATTTCTATGTGGGGAAAAGAAAGGAAAGTGAGGAAAGAGAGTGAAAAATTTAAGATTTGGAAAAACAACCCCAAAAAAGAATAGTTTGAAAAGTAATTACAACATTAGAAAGAAACAGAAGAGAAGATTACAGAAGAGAGAGTCAGAATTAGAGAGAGAAGGGGTCAAAAAGGGAAGGGAGAAGAAGAGGGGGAAGAGGGAAAGGAAAAGAAATTATAAAGGACAGAAACAGGACATAGAGAAACAGGGAAAACGTACAAGGATTAAGGGTATAAGCCTATTTAGAAGACACAGAGATAATGGGTAAAAACTTAATTGAAAGGGGGATTCTGCAAGGGTACATAAGATAGTATTGTTATATTAGAAATAAAAATGAACTTTGAAAATATGAAACAAGTGTGATTAAAATGATAGATAAAATACTCATTGTAATGTAATGGAATGTTTAATAAATAAATGAAATAAAGAGAATGAGAGAATGAAATTAGGAAAGGAGGGGAACATTTTAATTATTATAAATGTGTTATAAAAATTTAAGTGAAGAAGAATATGAAAGAAACATGAAAAAATTATGGAAATATTTATAAGTGTTCCTAGAAGTATGATGCCCTATTGAAAAGAAATGTTAAAGATGTCAAAGATTATAACTAACATTAATGATAGAAATGAATTGGAATAGAATAACTATTTTATTTATTATTGTTATACATATATTTTCTCTTTAAGAACTTAGTGCGTATTTTAAGAATGTACCGAGCAGAATTCGACTGGAAGTTATGTGTTATATTGAATGTTATAATTGTAAAGACATAAATTGAAGTTTAAATAAGAGTTGAATGGATAAAAATTAAAAGATACAAATGTGTCATACTACAATTAGTAACTACAGGGAAAAAATTTGTTTAATGAGAAAAGAAAATATGAAATTGAAACAGGACAGACAAAAGTATAAATATAATGACTAGAAAGATATCGAAACTTACAAAAAGATATATATAATTGAATTTGGAAAGGAATGAGATAATTAAAAGTAAGATTGAGAAAACTAAGGAAAGGGAAAAATTGAGAAAATGTTAAAAGAGTAATAAGATATGGAATAGATGAATATGAAATTGAATTTGTGTCTGTTTGGAGAAGTGATAACCCGAGCTATTCTCAAAAAAAGAAATTTTAGTTGTATTATGTTTTGTGACAACCCAAATAATTCTTTTATTAAAAAATAAAGAAATTGGTGGAAGAACTTAGATATAATTCAAGACAGTATGATTTTTTTTCTGATTCCATATTGGGTGTAAAGAACAAATGGAACATTGTGAATTTTGTTGGACTCAGAGACAATTATACTATGCAGGATTCCCTATAACCCAGCCATGAACTGGCATTGGTCTGCGGCCTGCCAAGAACTGGGCCTCACAAGTGAGTGAAGCCCCATCTATACACGCATGAGATCCAGGAAACACATGAACCCCTCCCCGAACCAGTCCCTGGCACCCAAAAGGTTGCAGGCCACTGTTCTACGAGATTATATATTAGGTGGAGAAAACCTGAAACAATGCAGCAGAGGGTTGGGTTGGGTTAGATTAGATTAGATTAGATTAGATTAGATTAGATTAGATTAGATTAGCACGATGCATTTTTTTTACATAGGAAAGTTCTTTTTAATGTTCTTATATTAGCCCAGTGGAAAACATATCCAGATTTACTTGCCTGAGCAAATGGATTCCAGAAGTCTGTTTTTACATAAGCATTACTTTTCTTAAACTGGAACCTATTGTTTTGAATGGAATTACTTCAGCATTGACAAAACCTTCCAAAACAGCATCTCTTCTATAGCAGCATTTTTGGTGATCCAAACATTTGTTCTTTCTTGTGTATTTGAACAAGCAAGCAAGAACTATCTTTGTCTTCTGGGTTTTATTTTTCCTTTTTGTTACATAAAACTTGACATGAGATCTTTTTTATGGTTAAATCGGCATAAAACATATTCTCTGCATATCTTATTTTACTCATTTCTCTTTTATAACACACGCAAACACACACACCCCTCCAAATTTCTAAAATAAATCAAGCATCTCTTATGTTCCTTGTCTTCTTTCTTATGAAATCAGCCAAAATCTGTGCAAGACTAGTGGCTAAATGTGAATGTCAGTAAGTAAGTATTAGTATGACAAATTATTATGGAATTAGATTTATATGCTGTTTTAATCTATATAATACAAGGAAATCTGTTATGAAACATTATTTAAAAATATGTTAACATTTCCTTTTTCCCCATTTCTTTATTTCCAGTCAATCGACCCAGGTCAGCAATTTACATGGGAACACTCTAATCTGGAAGTAAATAAGCCAAAAAACAGATATGCAAATGTCATTGCTTATGATCATTCTCGAGTTCTTCTATCAGCAATAGAAGGTAAGACTTTTTTTTAGAAAGAAACTATAGAAACAAAAATAAGTAATAAAATAACTTACAAAAACAAAACCAGTCATAAAATAAAAAGGAAAAAGAAATCTGGGGTATAAATTAGGACAACACAAAGTCAGTACTGTTCTATCTCACATGTCCTTTCAGTTTGAACCATCACAGTAATCCACATTTGAGACAGCACTTCAATTCCTATCAAGGCAGTATGCATTGAAGGGATCTGTTTGGATTCAGCTAGCTGCTGTTATAAAATAGAATTTGCTCAATGCATGAACAAAAAACCTGGGATCACAATTCTTCCTGGGATCAGAGGATTGTGCAATCATCTTCAGGGCTATGTGGAAGAATTAGTTCAATATCTAATAGACAAAGTTGCTTGGATTCATTCTCAGTTTGAACCTTTTCATGAGGCAGGTACTTTTGAGATAACTTGGGAAGGGGTCTTGCCCAGTGATCTGAGAACAGTTTGATCCTGTTGGCTCTGATGATGTGGAGAGGGTTCTCGGTGCTATCAGTGCTACCTCCTGCCAGTTAGATCCTTGTCCTTCCTGGGTGGTAAAAGCATCCAGGATGGTGACGAGCTGGTGGATTCAAGCAGTGTTGAATATATATCAGTGTAGGTAGGGACATTTCTGGAACCTTTTAAGGTTTCCCCCCTGCTTAAACACACCATTGCTTCATCCCACCTGCTTGGACAACTTCCATCCAGTTTCTAATCTTCCATGTTTAGGGAAGGTTGTAGAAAAGACGGTGGTCTGGCAGCTTCAGAAGGTCCTTGATGAAACATCTGGCTCTTCAGTCAGGATTCAGGCATGGTTATTGGACAGAAACAGAATTGGTCGCACTTGTTGATGACCTCTGGCAAGAGCAGGATAGGAGTAACAAAACCATCCTTGTTCTCCTTGATCTCTTAGCAGCCTTAGATACCATTGACCATGGTATCTTTTGGGCAGGGTACGGGAGCTGGGGGTGGGTGGCACAGTTCTGCACTGGTTCAGCTCCTTTCTCCAAGACCGGTCCAAATCGATGTTAATAGGGAATGAGAGGCCCAGCCCTCAGCCTCTATCTTGTGGTGTGTCATAGGGCTGAATACTCTCTCCATTCCTCTTTAATATCTACATGAGGCTGCTGGGTAAGAACATCTGTCACCATGTATTGAGGTACTCAGCTCTCTCGCTCTCTCCACCCCTGGTGATCCAAGTGATGCTGGGGCTGCCTTCTCATGTTGCTTGGGGCCGGGATGGGGGCCAGCAATTACAAAGGAACGTTGGGAAGACCAAATGGCTTTGGTACATGGAGCTCCAAGATCTGGGGATTCAACATCTTTAGTTGTGGGTGGGGGTTGCACTACCCTGGACAGACCCAGTCCACAATCTGGGGTTTCTCCTGGACTCGTGACTCCTGTTCAAAGAACAGATGGCAATCGCGGTTAGGAGAACCTTTGCACATCATTTTATGCACCAATTGCTGCCTTTCCTGGATCAGCAATCCCTGCACTCAGTTACTCAAGCCCTAATCATCTCATATTTGGACTATTGCAATGCGCTCTACATGGGGCTGCCCTTGAAGAGCATTTGGAAGCTACAGCTGGTGCAGAGGCATGGGCAGTTTTTAGCACTTATAGAGTGGCCAATGTTACACTCTTATATACAATGTGATGTATTGCAAGCTGCATTGATTGCCAGTCCGCTTCCAGGTGCAATTCAAGGTTTTGGGCATCACTTTTAAAGCCCTGCATGGCATGGATCCAGACCACTCGACGAACCATCTCACTCCAATGGGACTGTCCTGTACCTCCTGCTCTGGCAGAGGGCACATACTGCGGACCCCGTCAGCCAAGGAATTTCGGCTAGTGGGTTCAACCTGTATTTCAAAAGAGCCTCAAGATCTGGCTCTGCCAGATGGCTTGGAGACCCATCAGGGGGAGTTTCATACTGGAGTGCTTGATCAATTAAAACCTAATCCCATTTCCCCATCCCCTGTATACCTTTCCCATCTGGTTTTAATGGTTTGTAATTGTCAATGATTTTATCTGCTATGTACCATGATTTTAATGTCTTCTATAATGTTTTATGCTGTAAGACGTGCAGAGTCATTGGGTACCAGATAGGCAGCAAATATATGTCTAAATAAATAAAATAAAACTCTTTTTAACATCTGGGTCAGAATAAGGTGATTATCCTGATTTAGGGCTACAAAGAAGAACAGCATTGCATAGTGGCTTTTTACTGCAAAATAAGGTTTCTTTATAATCAAAGCATTTTTAACGAGGAATGCAAGCACTTTAAATTGAAAATTTCTGTCCCAAATCAATCTTGTTTGGAGGAAGGCAATGTATTAAGAAAATGAAAAGAAAAGAAAGTCGTCAATATGTACAAATTTTCTTACCCTTACACGGGGTGGGATTCAAATTTTTTAACAATCAGTTCTGTGGGCGTGGCTTAGTTGGTGGGCGTGGCTTGGTGGTCATGTGACTGGATGGATGTGGCTTGGTGGTCATGTTATTGGCTGGGCATGGCCAACTCAATATCACTCACATTGAGGCACGCATCTCCTCGCCTAGCCTCTCATGACTGTGGGGATGCTGCAACAGTCGTAAGTGTGAAAAATGGTCATAAGTCCCTTTTTTCCGTGCCATTGTAACTTTAAATGGTCACTCCACACAAGCAAAGTACCAGCAAAGGAGGGAAAAAACTCCAGAGACGTTCCAGAGACAGGAAGTCTAGTCCTGCCAAGAATGTAATAAGGGTTAACGCAGAGGCAGTTTCTGTAAGCAACACCAGAATGTTTTTTAATCAAATAAGCATATTTTAAGGTAGCATTTAGTTTCTGTTTCTGATTATGGTGATGAATGGTAACTATAAAAATTAAAATGTGCCTCAGAATTTTTTTTTCTAAAGTATAATCCAATTAACCAGGTGATGGACTTGGGGATATCAACACTACATTCTTATATGGGAAATAATGCCAGTGCATGTTAAACTCTTGCCGCAGATAAAGAATGCTGGTTTGGGCGTAAGGACAGATTTCACTCAAATCAAGTGGATAGCATTAATTCTTTCTGATATGTTCATATTAAATATGCTGTAATAAAAAGAGCATTTTATCTTATGTTATCTAAAACAAGCAGACATAGGACAGAACAGTATTTGAATTTTTGTGGTGTAACCAATTTTCAAGCATGCTATACAGATCCAAGCAAATGGTTTTCTTGAAGGAGAATAGCTGATCGCATGATCCCAGAATGCTGCACCTATCATAAATAGGTGCAGGTCACCAAGCACCCAAATCATGATCACATGAATGCAGGGACACTGCACCATTCATAAGTGTGAGAACTGGTAATTAGTCACTTTTTTCAACACCATCCTAACTTTGAACAGTTTCTAAGCAAACAATTGTAAATGAAGGGTTATCTGTAATTACAGTTTTTTTAGCTATAATGCTCCTTTGATATTTTATCAGTGTCAGTTTTATTCCATATCAAACTCTCAAATCCAAATATCATTTCATTTGGATTAATTGATATTGTCCCTTGTCAACTTTTGAATGTCCTGTCTTTGATAAGAGCATCTGCAGTAGCTATAAAAATATTACAATAGAAGTTTGTATCTTGATTTAGGATATTTGGGAACATAACTCAGTTTATTATGCTTTCTAAATTGCTTTTCATTTTTGTAGTTTAATGATGTCCATCTTTAATTTATCCAGTTTCCCCTCTATTCACATCATACAAGTTTACATATAATCCCTTCAATCTGAAAACATGCCCGACCACATCAGTGATTTCCTAACCTCATACATAACCCTTCTTTTTATATAAGCCTTGCCTGAGAGTTAAAAAAGCACTAAACTTAAGATCCTTCATACGTCAGTTATTTTCAAAATATTCAGGATTCTAATTAACTAAGTAGCTAGTTTTTCATTTTATTTTTAAAGTTGCTACATTTGACTTGCTTTTTGCATGGACCTTATCCTGGAAATCTATGTGGTTTGACAATAATTGGTGACTCTTAATCACTCAATCCCTCTATCGGTTGTATTAAATTGGAAACCAGATTTCATTTAATATTATTAATTGTATTGACATGCTGAACAGTTTACCATACACCATCTCAGCCTCGTTTGCTCCAGATGTGGTGGACTATAATTGACTATAGTTTTGAGAATCTGTCTTGTTTAAGGTTATCCAAAGAGACCTGATTGAATAAGTGCTGGATCTCAAACATTTTTGTTTCAAATTCAGAACTTGTGTCACTGGAAGCATCACTATATCACATCCCTTCAGATCAATCTGGTGTGGCATCTAAAATAACTTTCAAAGTTTATCTTTTGCCAGTGAAATTACTCCCATGAGCTACGGCGGAAAGGTAATTTCACCTTCTTTGTAACACCCTAATATATACACCACATTTGTCCCAAGGATCTACCAAACTTCTGACACATATATTGAAATAATTGCAGAAAGATATTGTATCCTTTTTGTACCATTGATGGAAGCAAAATTATTATTAGGCTCCATCCTGACTTTCCTGACATATTCTAATTGATACTATCATTTTGAGATCAGTCAGTTTTAGATTCTTTAATTCAATGTCTTGAAAAATAGTTGGATATATTCCATTTTTTCTTTTGATTGTTTTTGGGTGGCCCTTTGGAAGAGTTTTATGTTAAAGCTATAAAAGCTCCTTTACATTTTTAAAATACTACTTTTTTTACAAGAACTGAATATAATACTATCTTTAAAGCCTGGGTTATAACACCATGAATATGTTTTCCAAGCATTAAGATTTTATTGCTAACTTTCAAAGAAACAGTAAGCATTCCAAAGGTGAAAATATATGTGCTATCTTGTATTACACTCATTTCACAGATGCATTTGTTTTGGTGTAACCATAGAAACGACTAGTTTGATAGAGAAATTTTAAAGAGGAATTTTTCCAATGTGTTTAGCCTAGAATGCATATTTAATTTATCCTTTTAATGGT